TTCCCTTAGGAGGTAGATTTTTATTAATATTTATTCAATAATCAGACATTTATTGAACACCTGCTTAATTTGCCAAATTCTTAGCTGAGTGCTATTCCTAGATGTCAGGGAAGGAGGGAAGAAGAGAGAGAGAAAGAGAGAGAGAGAGAGCACACAGCGTATGCGTGCAGGCAAGCAAGCATATTTTCCTTTTACATAATGTTGTTCTAGTCTGCACTTCTCCTGGCTTTTCTTCTGAAGCCAATGTTCATATTTTTTGTGATGGGGGTCTTCATTATATGCATTTGTCAACATGGAGAGCAACGTATTAATTTTCTTAGTCCGCCGTGCTTGTATTGCTCAGGGTTGGTACAATTTGTAGTTGCTTAAATAATTGTTTTATGGCAAAGTCTGTTGATTTTGTGGTTGGTATTGTCTGTTTGTTTTGCTGGTCATGAATTACTCATTTTCTTCTGAAATGCCTAATTAGAAGTTTAAGGAGAAAAATCATTCTTTCTAGTAATCCACTAAATCTGGCTAATTGGAAAAGGATGGGCAATATAAAATTGGATTATATGGGTTGAAGAGTCAACAGCATATTTTTACCCTAAAAGCAATACATGAATTCTTTTATTTGCTTATTCTTTATTTTACCCAGTGATTATTGTCTCAGCAATTGTTATTAATTGGATCATAGTTTAAATTTCAATTCTCTGTTGAAATCTTACTGCTAAAAGCCTATGACAAGTACTTTTGTAAATGTAAGACTTTTTGGTATGAAAATAATCAACACTAATAAATAATTTATTGGGGATTTTCAAAATAATTGGGCATATTGCATCCTGAGTTTAGCTTATATTTAAGCCATTTGTTTTCTTTTTGCCATTTCTGATTGTACCATAGGGCTCAATGTCATTGATGCTTCATTATTTTCTAACAAGATGATATTTGGAAACATGCAGTCTTTTGGGAAAAAAGTTATTTTTTTTTTAATCAGAAAAGTGGTTGCTGGTTTTTCCCTTAGGTGGTAATCACTTTTTGAGACTCACTCTGAGCAGCCTTTTCACTCCCACATGCTTAGATACGGTTTCAGAAGTGCTCTCCAATGAGGCCCCATTAAGAACTGGCCTATTTGAATGAACTGTTGTAATGGGTGCCTTGTAAATGCTTGATTTGGACAGGTGACAGCCCCAAATCATAACCTATCCTTATTAAACCATATGGAGAAGATAGAAGCACTTACTCTGATGCCTCCGGCTACATATTAAGAGGGTCTTTTGACAGTGTCTGATAGGAGTGGAATGCCAGCTGCCATATGGGCAACTAAGGAAGGAGCATACATTTACATAGACAAGTGTAGTATAGTGTATATTTCTGTAGCTTGTCTTTTGAAACCAAATATTCTCTTTCCTTTCTTTCCCTCTTTGTGTATTTCCCTTTATTTCTCCTCTCTTTTCTCTCCTACTCCCTCTCTCCCTCTCCCCTCCATCATTTTCTCTTTGTCTGTCGCCCCCATTTCTCCCCCACCCCTCCTTCCCATTTCTCTCTAGTTAACAAAGAAATAATACTGCCAGTTTTCTAAAACTTTCAAATGTGGATTTATAGTTTGACTTTTTTTTTTTTCAAATAAAGAACTCTTTGCTGAATTCTAAGCAAACTTTTGGCTAGAATTTTGTAGTTCATAGGAAATATAGGTAACCTTTAAATTCTGCAGGATATAATCATTTGCTATCAAGAGTCATAACAGACCAGAGAAAATCCTTTATTTGCCACATTCATTAAAATAAGAAACAGAAAATGACCAACTTTTATATTGATTAGAATTTTTTGCAGTCTGATCGTGTACATATGGGTTAAAAATAGAACTTGTCATAGCAGTATTATTTAATGCCATATTTTATACAAAGTATGTGGGGTATACATAGGCCTCAATAGGTTTTATAGGTGTCATTTAATACAAGCTCCTGAATAATAATGTAGTAATCTTAGTATTCAGGTATTCATTTATCCAACAAACACTTGATTACTTGCTCTGAGCCAGGGACTTTTCTGGAACTAAGAATACAGACATAGTTTCTGTCTTGGGAACCTTATATCCTTGTAAGCAGCGAGAAATATGTCAGCAAGCATGAAGACCACTTTTATAATAGGAACCACGGTGGAAACCTGCCCAGGGTAGAGAGTAAACAACAGAAGCCAGTAATTGGGCAAGAGGACAGCAGAATGAAGCGTTTCTAGAAAGGATTTGCGGAGCAAGTGTATATTGAATCATGACCATACAGGAAAGGAAAGGTGAAGCAACAGAAATGAGCACGAGAAGTAACTTGAAGACAGATCTTGGAAAGCTTTCATACCATGCTCATGCTTTTGAAGCTTGTCATAATGAGCCACTAAAGAATTATAATCTTAAGAGGACATTCTTAGTTTTATGTTTCAGCAAGCCCCTCTGCTGATGATTGTGAGAAGATGGATTGGCAAAGGAAAACGTAGGATCCTAAAATTAGGTGATTATTGCATTAATCTAGACAGGAGATGAGAAGGCCAGATTGGTGCAACTGCAGTGGTGATGAAGAGAGCACAATAAGATATTAAGGGTATCTTAATATCTTATTAAGGTCTTGTTAACACAGGTCTTGATGACTAATTGGATGTCAGAGTGAGGAATGGTAGTTTTATATACCACAGAAGTTAACGTGGAATTTTTATATCAAATTCTGGTTCCACTAATGACTAAATCATCTTAAACAAGTATCCTAAACTCTCTATGCCTCAGTTACCTTATTGATAAGTTAAAAAAAAAAAAAAAACTAGTTCCTCCTTCAGAGAGTTTTTGTGATTATTAAATGAGATAAGGCCCATATAGGACTTCGCATAGGGCTTGGTACCCCAAAAATGCTAGGGGTGAGGAGGAGGAAGGAAAGAATGAGAGTTCCCAAGTAGAGACCCAATACATTAAAATATCAGTATATTTTTTAATTTGCCTACTACAGTGAATGAGATGGTTTGAGTGAGAATATTTTATCCTTAAAGTTTAGCATGCTTATTTAGATGGCATTTGGTAAAAGTAACTGAATTATTGAAGCTATAGTACCTTCTAGCTCGATGATTAAATATCTAGGAATAAATAAAGCTTCTTTCAGTGTGCTAATGAAAACATCATTAAGATAATATTAGTCTCCTAAATAAGATACCAATCATTAAATATGATTATCGTTTGCAATTTAATGGGAAATCTTTCGGCATATACCTGAGCTGGGAAAAGATTATTTAACCACAAAAAATACTAACCCGTATCAATTAGAGGTGGAAAAAAATCTGTTGTATTTCCTTCTGTGTTTAGAATTACTTCCCACACTAATTTATGTGTCTGTAGTTGTCCAGCCTCTGACAAATTTGAGAAACACGTAAAATAACGTATGCAGGGAGTCTTCATATACATTCCACAGTGATAAATATCATATACTTTGCCCAAGATCTAAAACACTGTTAGGCTTTTGGGAAGAAGATAATGTGGGAAGTTGTCATACTGAGTATTTTATAAGACACTGCTATTGGAGTTCCTAGTAATTAGATTTAGTAACTGTAAGCAAATGTAACTATTACTGACTTTTCCCCAACTTCTATCTTTTCACCCTAGTCAAAGTCACTATCATCCTTTACCTAGTCCACTGCAGTGAAGAACTGAGTACTAACCTTTTTCTCTGTTTTTAGCCCTGGCTACCTACTCCATTTTCTGCACAGCAGCCAGAGAGATCATATCATGTCACTCCTCTGCATAATCATAAGCATCATAAAGCTTCCCATCACACCCACTAAGAGCATCACTCTTTGCTCAGTCCTAGGATCTAGACCCCCTCCCACCCCCCGCCATGGGCTACCCATCCCTCAGCCTATTGCAGTTACTCTGGCCTTTCAACTTACTGCAAAGACACAAGCTTATTCTTCCCCAAAACTTGTTTTCTAGCTGTTCCCCCTACCTGAAAATCTCCACTTTAAGTCTTCCATGGAAGGTTCTTCTGTCACTTAGATTCAACGAAAATATCATCTCTTGGAAATACCTTTCCTGACCACAGAATATATTTTCAAATCAGCACATTTTCACTTTGAGGGCCACAGTGGGACTTAGGACATGTTCTTTGAGAAATATTTATAATCTATAGTACTGGCATTTAAAATAAATTATTAAATATTACTTAGCATTACTGTTTTCCTATAGATTCTCTGTTTTTTTCATGGTGCAACTTAGGCACATACTCACCTATATTTTTAATAAAATTGCATTATCTGCATAGAAAACATTCCTCTCCTGAAAAAGGTGAGTGTACCTTGCCCAGCAGTCTTGTAGCACAGATTCTAAGACTTCTGTGACTATTTTAGATAGAATGTTCCATACTACCATTTATTAAAGACAAATGGAAAACTGAAAAATCCATGTGATGTGCCGACTGTTTTTAAATATAGTTACGAAAAATTGAATGACTAAAAAGAAAGTCCACAAATAACTATAATGTTCATGAGTCGAAATAGATATTCCCAAACACCCAGACACACTCCTAGTGAATTAAACAAGAATAGCTCTCACAAGTAAACAAGCTTACTTAGAATTGAGTAGGGTTAGCTCCTCTGTGATACATAGCATAGCACAGAGATTGTAACTCTGCTTAATTGCTGCATTTACATGTGTCAGGACCATCAGGGGTGATGGCAGCTCCCTTGAATTTCCAGCGAGTGGTCATGTGCCTATGTGTTAAACCTCTTAGAAAATAAAAACATACCACCTGCCAGGAGAATTGTAGAGAGATATAATCTACTTGTGTTTTGACAGCCATATATAGAAGGCTAATTACACTTTTTGATCAATTTCCATGATACGATATTCAGTGTGGGGGATAGGATCTACTCTCATCTGCATTTTATTAGTTCTGTGTCACACTCTCTCAGGAAAAGGTTTTTTTGCCCATATTTTCCAAATGTCTGATATTATCCCTCTGACAAACACTGTTTCTGCTTGGCTATTTCAGCACTTTTGTGTAATGGAAAATTTCACAAACACTTGCAAGAAATCTTTGTACCCTTGGTTGTCCGCTACGTGGATCTCATGGAGTCTTCCATCGCCCAGTCAATTCACAGAGGTTTTGAGCAGGAGACGTGGCAGCCTGTCAAGTAGGTATATTACCCAGTGCCCCTAGAGCACCTGCCTCTTCAACCCTGACCTTCTGACTTTACACATGGCCATCTGTAGTTATTGCTTATGGTGGTCCCTTCCCACGTTGTTTGTTTCTTTACAGGAATATCGCCAACAGTCTTCCCAATGTAGCTCTTCCAAAAGTTCCAAGTCTGCCTCTTAATCTTCCACAGATTCCTAACATTTCTACTCCTTCGTGGATGCCTTCTTTATATGAGTCCACGTGTGTATCCCTCACTTATTTCCTGGTGGTGTGTTAGCTGGTGCATGGCCTGGGCTGTGTTCTGCGCAGATGTGTTTAGATTGCATGGCATTTGTCATCGTTGGTTGAGGAATACTGCTTTTGGTTTTGTTTGAGTGTTTTAAGCTAGAAGCTAAGCTTAGCATATCTATAATGAATTATGTCAGTTAAAAAGAAAAAAACACACTAGTTTAATGTAGTTCATATGTAATCTGTGGTACGGGAATCATTTGGTGACCCAGGTTATACATTCTACCCTAAGTAAAATAACCAGAGTTCTCCTTATATAGACAAAGCATTTCGAGGATTCTTAGCTCCAGCTTTATTACTGCCCACATGACTTTTCTTATATAAGTTGAAAACCTTTGGAAGAATGGTTTTATAAGAATATAATCTTTTTTCTATTTTTATCCTAGTCTCAACTTTTAAAAAACAGTACTGCATCATGCAAGGAAGGGGTTGTCCTTTCATTACCAAAACCAGAAAAAGTTCTTCTCTTGTTCCTTTAATATAGAGTTGGTACATCTTGCTATTTTTAAATAGTCTTTATATTATCCAAAACCATGTTTATTAACTTCACATTATGGTGACCTTGACTGTTGCAGAATCAGAAACTAAGAATCACTAAAGTGAACAGGAATGGGCTTTTAAATTGATCAGGTCTGAATTTAGATCTTAGCTTATTAATTGTAAATCTTTCTTAGCTTCAGTTTTTTCCTCAAGTCTAAAACAGCTATGACACTTAATTGAAAGATGTTTTTGTGATGATTTTTTGAAAAGAAAATTGTATTGAGGCACATTCTAGGCTTTTAATAAATGATTAGTACTGTTGGCATATCCTAGGCACCCAGTAAATGATAACTGCTGCTACTCTACATTGTTGTTTTTGTTATTATTACTATCATCAGGCATCATTATTTATAATGGTATACTTCTTAAAACTATGAGCCTCACAGTGATCAGAACTAAGTAATAGTTCCAGTTTACAAATGGGAAGACTCAGGCAGTTACATCCTTTGCCCAAGATCTCATATGAAATGAACTAGAAAGAATAATTATTAGAGGAAGAAAAATAGATTTCATTTATTGAGAATTTACTATGTTTCCAATATAGTGCCACGTTCTTATCTCATTTAATCTTTATAATAACCTTGCATCATTATCCCCATTTTACAGTTAAGGAAATTAAGTCACAAAGAAATTAAAAAACAAAATTTGCTGATATCTCACAGCAAGTAAGTGACAGAGGCAAAATTTGAACCCAGGTTTGTTTGACTACAAAGTCCTCACTCCTGTCATTAATTTGTTCTGCTCCCTTAGAACCTTGTGTTTAAGAACTTGCTACTTTTCCACCTATCCTACCACCAACTGGAAATCCACACCTAGTCAGGTATCCACACAATCAAGAAAAGAAAGAGGAAAAGACCAAGAAAGAGAATAACTTGCAAGTGATTTGGCAATATTTCTCCAAGTTAAACATCATCACTGTATTCATAATACTCACTAGGATATTATGTTACATGTGAATTTTTTTTTTCTTACAGAAATGTGCTTTGGGCCAATAGAGTGTGTAAAGTGTTGTCTGTGAGTGCTCAGGAAATTACATACAAAGTATAATGAACCTTTCTAAGTATATGATTTTTTTGTACTTTTTTACACTGTCTATAATTTAACTCCTCTTCTTCCTAATTTCTCATCTATTTAACACTCGATTTTAGCCCAGAACACTGTCATGGGCATTATCTTGTGAAATTTAGATTTTTGTTAGTAGTCTTTTTATTAACTGTGGGATTTCTATGATCTCTGAATACCTTATTGAGGACACTTTTTTAAAGCATGTTAATCTCAGGACAAGAATAATGACAACTTTGAGCTTTGTAAGTAAAATGATTGTGCTTTCACCATTCTGTGGAAAGTTAAAAATGCATTTTACAAGTTGATCACTATTATCTTTACCTACCAAGGTTATTAACATTAATTCTTCCTCAGAGTGTCCAAAGTTACTCATAATGTTATGATGTTATTGCCATTTTTTTTGAAGTTTAAAACATTAATAACAAGAAAGATTTATATTTAACAAATAATTAAAGATACAACTGCTGATTAAATAAGAATATCAAAGTAACTATGATTTTGAAGATACACCCCTGCCTACTAATGCATAAATCATGCAAGGATTGCTCATCCACATATCTATCTGTATATAAAATCTTTTCTCGTTTTTTTTTTTTTTTTCTCTAGAAATGAATGCCAGTAAGGTAAGTTTTCTACTGGCATTTTTAGGAAATTATCTCAGAGTCCATTATTCACATTCAGATTCTTTAATCTGTTAATAATACCTTTAGGAATAGGTCACTGATTAGAAATAATTTTAAAATGAAAAAGCTCTGAATAAATGGCAGGTTATATGTACCAACTTCAAAGAAAGCCTACTCACATTTTTTTCATATATCTCTCTAATTATAACAAATACTTTTTATCTTAATTACATTCCAAATTAAACACATTTATTGTCAAGAATCAAACAAAAGAAAAATGTATCCATATTCTCTATGAAGATTGTTATATATTATTAGGAGATCTATTTTTAGTAGAATTCTGCCTTTACCATCAGAGATTTTGTTTTATTATGTTGTTTCTTGTCATTGTGTTGTTAAAGAACATATACATTTCAGATAGTTACATTTCTCCAAAGTAAAAAGATTATAAGAAGCAGATTTGCTTCTTTGCCAATTGTATTGTTATTTTTAAAACTTAATCTACCAAACTGCACACTGTGGATATGAAGGGAGATTTTGTTTGGTCTTTTTTTCTCTTATTTTTATGATATATATGGCAAAAGAAGAAATAAAAGTAGTGTTTTTTAAACACTTTCACTGTAGTATCAGCATGGTGTTTCGTTCTCTCATTTAATGGTGCATTAGAGGCACTGAATATTAAGGTGAAGAGATTTAAGTGAGTAAAGTGCTATGGGAAGTGTTCACTGCTTTGCTGTGATTGATCCCTAGAGAACTTAACTCTGAGGGCATTTTGGCTAGACAAGGAGATCAGGAGGAATTACTGGCAGAATGGGAATAGAAAAGCAATGTAGATTGGTGATAGAGCTTTGACGCTGAGGCCAGGGTGGAGGGTAGAAATAAGCTTTTAATTAGCCAGAGCAAGAGGTGACTTTGTTTCAAAGCTAGCTCATTAAGATATATTTAGCTAAACAATGTGGTACCTTAAACAATTTATTTTTTTTTAATTTTTAAGTTCTGGGATACATGCACAGAATGTGCAGTTTTATTACATAGGTATTTTCCACTGTGATTTTGTGATAAGTAAGTTTATTTTTTAAATTTTCTTTTGTAAACTAAAAATATAAATTTTAAGTTAGTGTATGTGGAGCAATTGTTGGAAAGCTGAGAACAAATGAGACCTACAGTAGCTTTTTTTTTTTTGCTTTTGCTTTTATGCTCTTTTATACTTAAATTTCAATATGTTTTAATGTAAGAAGATTTTACTTTCAAAACATTTGTTTCTGTATTAGCCTATGTACTTGCATAATGGAAAGTAATAGCATGACCCTTTGCCAAAATATTATATGTACTCTTCTGTAAGTTATCTTCATACATGGGGTGATGGCACAGTCCTCGAGTAATTTTACCATAGTAGTGAATGCTTAGCGAATCTTGGCTCCACAATTAGATATAAGGACCTGAAATAATTATTATTCTACAACTTCAGAGCACCCTGAGTGTCATTTCTCTGTCAGACAATACCTTGGGTTTTAATAAGCCAGAAAAGGCAAAAAATGAAGATAAATGTTTGCTTCCCTACCTATCCCATTTTATTTCTGGTACCTTTCTCACCTTTACCTGTAGCTGAGAAATTCAAGGACCGTATATTCTATACACATGTAAGTAGACAGAAACCACCATGGTGACAGAGGCACATATGCATGAATAACAGCAAAGCTACTGGTTGCAAATATAAGAACTTTCTTGCATAAAATGTAATTTTGAAGGCTTGCAAGAATGTTTATCCTAGAGATTGGTAAAGAACACTTACAATATCTATCTGTTCTTATGTATACAATATAATTTCCTTAGTAAAGTATACGTATCCATTTTACCTCGTTGTATGAAACCCTACCACCATATTTATTTCTGTTTTGTTCTCCTTGCCCTGCCTTGTTAAGAATGATAAAGGAAGAATTAGAAGGCTGAACAAAGAAAATATTGGATCATTAGAGATTTTATATGGTTTTTTTCACTGATAGCAATTGATACAGAAAAGGAAAAACAATGTATTAATGGTATACATCATTAACAGGGGAAATTCATGATGTTCATTTTTTTTCTTTTTCTTCTAGCAATGGCTCAGCAACATCAGAAGACCTTTTTTGGAAACTTGATGCACTGCAGATGTTTGTCTTTGATCTACACTGGCCAGAACAGGAATTTGCCCACCACTTAGAGCAAAGACTTAAACTAATGGCCAGTGACATGCTAGAGGCCTGTGTCAAAAGGTAGACATGTATTTTCAAATTGCTGCTTAATGTGCCAGCACCCAAAATATCACTTCTTATCAAGTACCTAGTATATCATTGCCACAGCAAAGGTTTCACGATGCAGTACTGTTCCAACATTTAATGAGCATTAGGTTATCTTGACTAAATTCTGGGGACCCATATAATTGATGAAAATGGCTGGATACTTTTTTCCAAGTCTCCCAACTATTGCCTTAATCGGTAACATCTATACCATATTAATGATTTCTTTAGGGCTTACTGTTACCTCTCTGGGAAAACTGTGCTTTAAATTCCCAAAGCAACATTTCCTGAGACATATGAAAAAGGTCTGTTATGTTCTGTATGCACTATGTACTCTGTCTGTGTACTGTGAAATGGCATAGTAAGCTCAAAATAGCAACAGCACCATCAGTTGTTCTGGGATTACTAACCGTATTCTGGTATTTTCTGTCTACAACAGATGAGTTCCAACTATCGGCTTAGATTCTTTAGAACTTAACTGGAAATAAGTTATGAGGTTTTGTATTCTTCCAAATGTGCTTTCATTTTATAATAGTTTTACAAAATCAGCATTGCATCCTAATTGGTCAAGCGTTATTTTTTCATTATCCTTGTTCATTATATGTACAAGGACAACATGTAGCCACATATTAGAAAAGCATTCAAACACTGGTTAGACCAATTGGATATTTCCAAAAATCTTTCAACCAAGAAAAATTCTGTCTTTAGAATAATATTCAGTAGCCCCTTAAGGCAAGACCATGGATTAGGTAGATTAATGTTTTTTAGAAATCATTATTGATTTTGATGTCTCAAATCTGTGGATGTTCATAGGATAATTTTGCAAAACCAACTCCAAATTGCCCATAATGCAGTTTCTTTCAAAAACCTGTCTGCAATTTTAGGTTTTTGAAGGATAATGTAAGTGACATAAAAGAATTACACATTGTTGTACATTGATTACCGGGTTTTAGAGTTTTCTAGACTTGTGCTTATTTTTTCTAATTTGGTAAGCCTTTATACAGAAAATATATTCTGCTTAAATGCATAGAGTTGTGTGATTTTTCTACTTGGAAATTAATTCAGACAGCTAAGTGAAATTATGAGTTTTTTCTATTAAATGTGGTGATCTGGATACAACAAAAAGCTTCGTTTGGGTGATGATACTGTCTGAGTGACTGCATGAAGCTAGGCTTAATATTAAAATATCACAATCTGATCTTTCACTGAGACCTGAAAAGAAAAGCCTCCCCTGACCAGCTCCCAAGCACTGCCACACTGCTTACTCATTTGCATGTTTTAAATTAGCATCTTGTAGTGTTGATTTCACTTTTTACAAAACAGGTAAGGTGTATAGCAGAATTTCTTACTCCGAATTCATGTTTTTAAAACTAGAACAAGAACCGCATTTGAACTCAAGCTGCAAAAGGCAAGCAAAACAACTGACTTGCGCATTCCAGCTTCCGTTTGCACAATGTTTAATGTATTAGTCGATGCCAAAAAGCAAAGCACCAAGCTCTGTGCCCTGGATGGAGGACAAGAGGTATGTAGGATGGGCCACGTGGGAAAAGGCAGCACAGGGTGCCTTGGCAGGGGATATGCTCTTTCCATAAGGCATTCTCTTGATTGGATTGAAAAGACCCAAGTTCTCCAGCACCAAATGTTTGATCTTTTCTTTACTGGAATAATGGCATGCCCTTTATCCTTTGCTCATATGAGTTTCTCCTTTTTGATATAAATACAGTCCAAAATTTTATAAGTGACCATGAATTTTAGATACAGCTTTTAACAACTTATGTTGTGTCATTTACATAAACCTTGCCTTTTACAAGCAAATGAGAAAGTTGGAAAGCTACCTGTTTTGTTTATACAAATCTAGAGTATCCAGAGTTTGCATCTATGAAAGTAAGACACACAAAAAAGTATGAAATAGTTTATTTGCACAGGAGTTTCCATTTTTTAAAAATTAGGTAGAAATAGATTTGTAAATCTAGGCCTAGTTCTTATCAATAAATATCCTATTCTTTTCATTTGATTTATATTTTGTTTGGTTTTATATTCAGAAGTATAATTTTATTTTACCCCATTACTTTTTGTTGAGAGTGGTGACTGGGTGAAGATTTATGTATTTATTTTCAGCTAATTCATTTAAGTTGACATTTTGTTGTCTTTTTTCCCATGGTAATTACTTTTTCTTAATTTCTTTATTCTTTCCTTTTGTTCTCTTTCATCATCTTTTTTTTTTTCCCTCCATGGCATGATCCAGTTTGGTAGTCAATGGGTAAGTCTCATTTTTTTTTCTAAAAGCATATTTTCATTTGAGTTATTATTTTTGCAAATGTGTATTTTTTATTTTTATCTTTTCAAATTAAAACTATGTAAATAATTTTATTTTCGGATTCTTGGCTTCTATGTTTGCATATATAAGGCTAACTGCTTACAATAAAATAGCAATAGCCCAAAGATTCATTAAAACACTAAATACTTATACCTTAAATAATGACAGGGGGACTGTTTCTCCCCTGTTAAACTGCCGAATTTATAAACTATCCTTAGAGTTTTAAAGATAAAATCATCGAAAACCAAATTAATTCGCCTTCTCTTAAATTGAAATCTAGATAACTGTAGAAGCAGAGTGATTATTAACATTTTTAAGCATTTATCTACACTATACTTTTAATACCAAAAAATTTCAAGTTTAGAGCTTTAGATGACATACAACTTCTAAAAACGAAGAAAGAGGCCACACCCAAAGTCACTTCATACAGATGAACCCAATGGTGGATTTCAGTGAGGTATAAGCCCACCAGTGATACAGTCTTTCCTCCCACTCATGATGGCTTAGGATGTGACCATCATCAGAGGTAAGGAAGAGGGATGCCTGTGTCATGAGACGTCGGCCCTCTTCCACAACAGGTCCTCCTAAAATAATACCCCCCAGAATCCCTGATGTACAAGATTAGAAAACCTCTATGCATGAAGGATTGACTAGTGTATATATTTGTTCTTTTCTTTTCTTTTTTGTGATCAGAATGTCTTTGTGTCCTGTAGGTAGGTTACATCTTACAAGTCTTACACTTGACAATTGGGAATCAAACTCAGAGTGACTCTTCCTGGGCTGACAGTTCTCATCTAAGCAGAAGGGCTTAGTTAACTATGAAAGTAGATGGGAGCTACTTTCATAATTAGCCTTATATATGCAGTGGCTCACGCCTATAATCCTAGCACTTTGGGAGATAGGTGGATTGCCTGAGCTCAGGAGTTCAAGACCAGCCTGGGCAACATGGTGAAATCCCATCTCTACTAAAAAAAAAAAAAAATCATCCTGGTGTGGTCAGGGACACCTGTAATCTCAGCTGCGTGGGAGGGTGAGGCATGAGAATTGCTTGAACTCAGGAGGCAGAGGTTGCAGCAAGCCAAAACTGTGCCACTGCACTCCAGCCTGGGCCACAAAGTGAATCTGTCTCAAGCAAAAGAAAATAGATAGGAAGCTGCTTGTTAATGCTATACCTTTTGACCCAGATATTTACATTAGCTATTTGACTATAATTTATATTTATTCATGGATACACAATTTTATTCTTTGAGCAATTCACAGAAAAAAAAGTATTTATAATACCATAGCATACTACCTTACAAATATATCAAGTAACTGATATGTGTTATAGACTGTTCAGTAATTCTCTGATCACTTATAACTTCATTTATTATATCTAATTATCTGAATGAGTAGGCAGCTGGCTTGGATAACAATGGCTCCTGTTTACCTCCTCATGTTTTCTAGTACCCAGATGTAAGCCTTTGATTTTCTGCCTGAGAATATTATCTTAACTTTCTTCATAAACCCATTCTTTCCTCATCTGGTTTGTAGAATCATCTTCCATTAATACTGGGTTTATCTATTTATTTTAACATACACTGCAGGCACTCAGTAAATGTTTGCAGAGTGAATGAACAGATTTGTCACTGCATTAAAAATCCTCCCCTGTAAGAAGCAACTTGCTGTAGTACTTAAAAGGAAAAGCAGGCACACACACACACACACACACACACACACACAAATGACAAGCATTGTTACATTGTCAAATGATTCTTTACATTAATAGGTGGGTGGTTTTGAAGAGTGATCTGCTACTGTTCGTTATATATGCACCTGTACATTCACACCAGAGACAATTAGTTCCCCACAACTTTCACACAATTAACATAGTTCAAAATGTGCAGGTGTAAAACCCATTAGCAACCCTGAAAAAAGTGGTAAACAAGAATTGCATTGCAAAAGAAGAATTTTATACATTGCTTTTTCTCTTCAGTAAGCATACCCACATAATTGTGTAGTCTTTCCCTCTCTATATGTGCCGAGATAAGTTTTGGAATTGTTGAAAATTAGTATGTATATTACAAATACAGGTGAGCCAGTGGACTCCATTTAACAGCAACAAAGTTGTTGAAAAAGCTAGATTACTGGACAATCTGGATCCATGTAAAATATATATACTATATAGTTAAACATAGCAGCAATGTTTTCTCTAAATTGTAAAGAAATTACCTCTCCAAAATGTCTAGTGAATTTGTTATTGTTATCATCACTGGGATAAAACTTGCACAATTCCTTCCCCACAATGCAGTCCCTTCTGTGCTTCTAAATCATGATTCTGTTTTCTTACATGCTACACGATGATGCAAACATGCTCCACTGAGGCCCAGAATTGGGTTTAATAGAGTGATTAGTGAGTGAATGATCTGCTTATGTGACAGCTGTGTGAAATGAGTCAGCAATTTCAGGCCAGTCTCTCAGGGACAGATGTTGAGATCACAAAACCACCACAGTATTTAGAATCTTCATTATCCATTACTGCACAAAAGCAGATGACTAGATGGGCTGTAGACATTCATCAGCCATCAGAACCACTTCATTCCATGGTCCCATTAGTTGAGGATGAAGGTGAAAACACATTAATATGGCAAATTCAGGAGAGCAAGGGGCCTTACTTGTGCCAAATTTGTTCTCAGTTAAATTAAAATGTTTCCATTTCTAGAACTAACAACATAGTACCTTTAAATTATTATATACCCCAAGACAAAGTCCAAAATCTTTTAAGAAAACTGGAATTCAGTATCATCTGATTAGTCTTCATTTCATGAGTGTGTTTGTGTGACAACAGTCAGGTGAAATGGTGCTGTTCACCTGATTGTAAAGAGGCCAGGATTTCAGACTGTGCCTAACCTCTGATTTCCCGGGGCTTCATGAAGTAAGGATTCCTGAATGGTTATCTTAATGTAAGTTCAGAATCATCTGCTGGGAAAGCAGGCACAGTTTGCCTTTGAGGGCAAACGTGGGGAGACTTAGCTTAGGAATGAACTGGAATCTACCAAAGCCCTAGTATCTAAGATTATCAATCTAACTTGAAGTATTCTAAGAATTTTATTTTTCTCTTTTTAAATTTTAACTTTTGTTTTAGATATGAGGGTACATGTGTAGTTTTGTTATACAGGGTTATTGCACCCAGATCATGAGCATAGTACCCAATAGGTAGTTTTTCAATCCATACCTCCTTTCCTCCCTCACCCCTCTAGTAGTCCAGTGTTTATTGTTCCCATGTTTATGTCCATGCATGCTCAGTGTTTAGCTCCTGCTTATAAGCAAGGACATGCAATATCTAATTTTCTGTTCCTGTGTTAATTTGTTTAGGATTATGGCTCCAGCTGCATCCATGTGGCTGCAAGGGACATGATTTCATACGTTTTTATGGCTGTGTAGTGTTCCATGGCATATATGTATGACATTTCTTTATCTGGTCTACCATTAATGGACACCTAGGTTGATTTTATGTCTTTGCTACTATGAAAGCATGATGATGAATATACAAATGCAAGTTGTTTTTGTTTTGTTTTGTTTTTGGTATAGTGATCTGTTTTCCTTTGGATGTGTACCCAGTAAATGGGATTGCTGGGTCAAATGGTAGCTCTGTTTTAAGTTCTTTGAGAAATCTCCAAACTGCTTTCCACAATGGCTGAACTAATTTACATTCCCACCAACAGTGTATTAGCATTACCTTTTCTCAATATGTTTTCTTTCTTTGAAACAATGTCTCCTTCTGTCACCCATGCTGAAGTGCAGTGGCATATTCATGGCTCTCTGCAACCGGGAACTCAGGCTCGGGTGATCCTCCCACCTTGACTTTCTAAAGTGCTGGGATTACAGGCATGAGCCACCATGCCCAACCTCTAATAAGAATTTTATAGGTTTTTATTGTTGGAAACAAAAATGTTCCAAATTCTTATGAAAAATGCTGTCTGTTATAGTAAATGGGAAGAAACGATCAGTTTTAACTTATGTAATATAAATGTCTTTGCAGATACATTGTTTTTACCTGTGATCTCTTTTTGCTTGTGTTTGTCATTGAAAGTTACCTGAAAATTTCTAAAAAGCTGCTTTTGTGAACTAGTTTAAGCACACCAGTGAACTTAGAATGTTTTAACCAGCCACTGAATACTCCTATCCCCACCCCAGATGAACACACAATAACCATTATTATTCTGGCAGTTTTTGACTTGCTTTATTTTAAATGTGTGCACACACAAATATTACTTTCACAGATAATAATTAATTACATTTATTGACATATTTCAATTTCTGGTTTTGTCCCTATTCCTTAATTCTACAACTTGCTTGTATGTTAATTTGTCATTTTCCTGAAATGCATAATTTAATTTTTTAGCAAAAATTTAAAAAACACACAGAAAAAGAAAAATTTTTCTGGGTCCCCTGATGAATGACTTTTTCTAGCTAACTTTGTATTATCTATGTGCAGCATATGTGGGTTATCATCGGCAGAATATATATATAAAATGAGAATTCTCAGGCCATCTTTTCTCTCACACTCATGCACCTATCCCACCTCCACCAACTGTGCAGCCAGAGCAGATTCTGAAAAGTTCTCAGCAGTTGTAATATTCATGTAAGTCAGATCTAATCAGATACATTTACAGTAGCAGAATCCCATATTGTAAAAATCTGAAAACCTCACGCTATTTGGATTTACCCCTTGGATATTAAATTTAAGATGTATACTTCTTTCTTTATTTCTTTTAACATTGTATGTGTTTGTGTTTTTGTTCATTCATTCTCATTTTCTCTTCCTCTCTTCCCATCTCTTCTTTTTCTCTTTCTCTCTGCTTATAGCTAGATCAGGCATCAAACAAGCAACAATCTACAGGTGTATATTATAGGAGAATTTAATGGCTCCTAGTATCCATTGACTTTCACTGCTTTTCAAGAAAAATGGGTATAAATGACCTGTTTAGTTGCTCATCACTTGATTTTAAGATATGCCAAAATCAATTCAACCCAAAAGTTTAACATGTAGAAGCTCTGTATTTTATATATGATAGCTTTCTGATGACATTTGATCACTTTGAGTTCAAAAAATGAAAGTTATGAAAATAGAGAAAAACATTTGGGATAAGGCATATTTAAGAACCTGCTTGGAAGTCTGGATGCCTCAATGCCTGTATGCTTTGGAGCACTTTCCATGTAAGAGGGAAGTGAGATGCTTGAAGCCCAATTCCTGTATCTCTTTCCTCTTCTACCCCAAAGAGGAGTCTCACGTGGCATTTAGTTTCCTCTTGCTGCTCACACTGACCTGGAGCAAGATGGATGTGAAGGAGAGTGGCAGAGTGGGAGATCCAGGCAGAGCTCATTTGCATAAGCTTCTGCATCACTCAGTCAGCTGCACAGCTTTCAGCCAGGAGCTGGGGGGCCTTTTTTTGTAAGTGTGTCTATAGAGGGATTACCCTGCCCATCAGCCCGTGCACTGAAATTGTTCAGCTGATCTCAGATATGTTCATGTGAGGGCCTGTCTGGCTTAGAAAACTATTAATAATTTAGACTGGATCAGAACTTTAACAGCCAGCCAGCTTTTTCAGGCTTTTCTTCTACCTGTTTTTCTGTCTTCTCTCCCTTTTTCCTTCTCTTCAAGCTATCTCGAAAGCAAAAATATCAGCAATAGTGGTATAGAAATCCACTCTGTATGTTTCAATTCCATTTACCCTCTAGGGAGCACAAATTTGGGAATTGATAAAGGCTTTAAGTGAGACAGATATGCTTTAGGGGTGTAATATGTGCCCAGAAAATTCCACATTCACATAGATGTGGCTAATTTTAGATCACTTATCATTACACACTTAGACTCACACCCACACACACTCACACTCACACAGAAAAAGAAAATAATTCAGAGACTCCAAAATTCTTCCTCCTTTGTTATTTATGCAGGTTGATGATAACGACTTGTAACTGTCAGAACCCTTGGGGAGAAGGGTGGAGTGTCATTCCTGAGTAATCCAAAGCAGACCTAAGTTGATGTTTTGTTCTGTGTGGAAACTTTGAGACATGTTTTCAGCACAAGAAAAAAAAATAGCTTTCAAAAACTTACATCTTAAGAAACCATTCATCCAGCAGTGAAGTTGGTCTAATGTTTATATTGACCTGAGTACTTTTACTCGATGCATTTTGTTAGCTGTTCCAAGAAGCCTTGAACCATCAAGATAGGGTTAGTCTTTACAAGTCACATTTTCTGTGAAGTGGCTATTGGGGACAATCAGCTGTCAGATAAATGCTTCTAAAGGAAGAATTACTGTTTAAATGGATGTGCCTTCACAAGCCTTGGAAGCCCCAGCTCCTGTTAATTTGAGAATGGAGCCCTCTAGTATTCTCTAAAGAAAGAAAAAAAAAAAAGTCTTTCAGGTTGATTTTCAATACATCTTTTTTTGGTATTTATTTAAAGGCATCTTTTTCATAAGGAAGCGGTAATAAAACTATAGGGAGTGAGTGATGTTTCATTATACCTTTTATGGCCTATTAATTTGTTACCATCTATTCACCTTTGTTGATGAAATTTTAATTTTGCCCTTGCTTGAGCATATTGTAAGAATTGTATAAACTGCTGCTCCCTGTGCTGACAAAAAGGTCCTTTTAGAGTGAACAATTGGGAGCTCATTTTATTTCTAGAGCACATTTAAAATAACTTATGAATGAGAGTTGTCAGACATGAAATGCAGTATTAATTAAATCTTTTTCTAGTCTTTTTGCTTCTCCAGCTAAACCAACCCTTTAGAAAAATACACAGCCACCTTAATTATAGAGGAGAAGACAAAAAATATCCTTCACATTCCTGTGCCTGAATAAGAATAAGAACTCAATTCATCTAAATAATAACCCCATTAGCTGCTTAACTCAACAGTGCACATGGGAAAATTTTCAATCCACAATGTAAAAAGTGTTTATTGGGTGGATCATTTTCAAGGTTTTGTTCTTTTAATGTTCAAAATGGTCATTTTAAATAAATCTGATAGGTCATAACTAGTAGATTTAGAGCATTTATGACTTACGACAAAAGTTTTGTGTCATGTCAACTAATGAATTTTTCTTTTAATATCTAGCAACAATACCATTCAAAAATAGATGATCTGATCGACAACAGCGTAAAAGAAATCATTTCACTGTTAGTTTCAAAGGTAATGTATTGTTTATTCACCTTTTTAAATCAAATTGAAAAATAATTTTCAATGGATACTTTTTAAAAATATCATGTGTTTAAATATCTAATTGAAAAAAATATAGTTTAAAAGATTAATGCAGGAAAAATTAGATTTTTCAGGAAAGTTAGCAAAAAAGATTATGAACACTATGTCAATAACATTTGATTTTTTTTTTTTTTATATAATAAATTTTGGCTTTTCTTACCTTTGTTGTCATTTTAAAACTAACTCTTCTTCCAGTAAAACCTTATTATGTTACATTCATGTTCTTGTACTATTTAACTCCAGAGCAGATTTGAGTAGTCACAAGTCCTTGAATTTAGCCCATCTGTGGTGGTGATGGCACTAAGGCTTTATATCTGGTCTTGGAGACAGACGGAGAAAGCTGGCAGGGTGACATCTGAGGTCCTCTATGCCCAAGAATTTCCCAGGATTTCCAATTTGGTGCTCAAAATACCTTTGGCAAAAGCCATGATCTTTCACTGTATAAGAAGAGATGAGGCAATTGATGCATCATTTAGTGATTAGATGATTTAGATTCCAACTAAGGCATAACAGATAGTCATGGGTGGCATTTCAGATCAGGGGCTGATAAGGAAAGGAAGAGAGAACATGAGAGCACCAGGTTAAGAGGATGAATAGAGAGAATGGGCATCTCCTAGAGGCAATTTCCTATGAGCAGATAGATCCCAGGCTCTCACAAGGCTTCATCAAAGAACCCCAAATCAGGATTTGTAAAGCACCTGGAAGGATGACAAGAAGCAAAGGAAAAACCACCCTCAGTTTAATAAACAGACAAAAGACATCCTGTTTAGAAAAGAAAAAAAAAAAAAAGAAAACAGAGATGTCCCATGAACATGAAAAGTGTTAATCCTCATTAATAATTTAAGGATACAAAGTAAGCTACAATAATATACTATTTTTTCTAGCAAATTAGCATAAATGCTTCTAAGGTAACACGCAGTTCTGGGTGAGGTGAGACACCTTTTATATATTGGGAAGTATAAATTGTTACAGTCTTTCTGGAAAATAGTTTGGAAATACATCAAGTACATTAATACCTTTTCACCTTTTTCTATTTTGTCATACTGATTAAATGTACAAAATATGTATTTGTTGATATTTGTCACATTATGCCTAACCAAAATTTGAAAACAACTTTAAATTCTAATGAGGGAAAAGGTAAAGTAAATTGTGGAACATCTGTATTAAGAAATTATACTTTCAAAGACTATTAATGATAAAGGAAGAGTTTCATAATATAGTATTAAATGAAAACAGCTGAATATTTAAAAGTGTAAAGTATAAACTGAATTTGAATCTTGTAGGAAAAAGACTGCTAGGATAAACACTAGACTGGTAGCATAGCTTTTCTTTGGGTAATGGGAGTATAGTTCGTTTTTTATTTCATCTTCAATTTTTTTTTGTATTTTTCAAATTATCTGGTCGCATGTCTTAGAGTAGAAAACAATCACAAAGACAGTGTTAGAATAAAATCATCTCACCAGCTTATTCCTGTTCTCCAGATTTTTACCACTGTACCAAATGCCTACGTATACACATATCTTGCACACTCGCCAACAAGTGGATAGGAAAAGAATAATAGGAAAACCATGGAGGGAAGGGGTGAACCACTGGAGAATCGAGGTCTTTGAGGAAGAGCGGTGAGATTTCCACCCTCTGAGGAGCCCAGCACAGCAGCTTGCATCACCACATAGTCAACCCACTACAGTGAAATAAAGTTAACTTTGCACCATCTTCTCTGTGAGGCCTTCAGGGAAATGTTATCCAGATATAACCACCCTATGAACATAGTCCTCATGTGGAAATTGCCTTTTGTGAGAAGTTTTCATAATTGGCATCACAATCACATACTAGCATATAGATGATATAGGGTTAATCAGGCAGCAAGAGAAAAGTCCAAGTTTTTCTTTGGGGTGGGAAGGAAGAGAGAAGGCAGATGGGACTGTACGTCATCTCTGCATCTATTTCTGGCAAAGTAAGACACTTAAATTTTTCTATATCAAATACATCTGGTTAGTTTTCAAAATAGTCTATTTAAGCTAAGGAAGGAAAAGATGTCCTGAAATATCCTCACAGTATACCAGTAGCTACTTGCCACATGTGGTTGTGGAGAATTGGAATGTTGTTAGTGAAGCTGAGAAATTAAATTTTTAATTTAATTTAGTTTTGATTAAAAGAGCCTCGTGTAATACTGGCTATTACATTTAGAAATCAGGACTAGATTATAGTTTTCCTCTGTGCCTCATTTCTCCTTCTGTCAAAGCATGCTTATTATCTTTAATTCTTTGGCTGAAAAGTGTAAAATAAGTTAACTTGATAGGTTGAACCAAACATCTCAAAGATGATAGTAATTGATGTTTTTTAAAAAGATGTTTCAAATTAATCTCCATAATTATGATATTTTAAAAACCATTTTGTTGAGATATGATTAACATACAAAAAATGTGTACATGTTTAATATATACAAGATGAGTTTGGAGATAAGTATACAGCCATAAAAGTGTACAACCATAAAACCATCACCTCAATTAGTACCATAAACTTATCCATCACCTCCCAAAGTTTCCTCCAGCCCTCTTAAATAATTATTTCTGTGTGTGATAACAGTCACATAAGATCAATCCTCTTAGCAAATAGTATTGTTTTCTATAGGCGTTACGCCGTGCAGTAGCTCTATAGAACTTTTTCGTCATGCATAACTGAGACTGCTCTTTGGCAGATTTCTCCCCATATCTCCCTTCCTCTCAGCCCCTGAGAAACCAACATTCTATCCTCTGTTTCTGTTATTTTGTTTATTTTAAATTCCTCATATAATTGGTACTATGTAATATTCAGTCTTCTGTGTCTGCTTATTTCACAGAGCATAATATACTCCAGGTTTATCTGTTTGTCTCAAATGGCAGGATTTCCTTCTTTTTTGAGGCTGAATAATATTTCATTGTAGCATGTAACTCATTTTCATTATCCATTCACCTCTCCGGTGGTTATTAAAGTTGCTTCCAAGTCTTGCCTATTGAGAAGAATGCTGCAAAGAAATGAGAGTGCAGATATTTCTTCAATATACGAATTTCAGTTCCTTTGGATATATGCCCATATATGGCAGTTCTATTTTTCACGTTTTGAGGATCCTACATGCTATTTCCCATAGTGGCTGCACCAATTTATATATCTACCAACAGTGGGCATTTTCTCCACATTCTCAGCAATACTTGTTATCTTTTGGGTTGTTGATAATAATCCAAACAGATGCCAGCTAATATCTCAGTATGGTTTTGAGTTGCATTTCTCCAAAGATTAGTGACATTAAGCTCCTTTTCATATACCTATTGGCCATTTATACGTGTTTATTACAGACATAGTGCTTTGCTCATTGTTCATAGAGACATAGTGCTTTGCTCATGTTTTTTAACTTTAATTTTTTTTTTTTTGCTTTGAGTTTTAGGAGTTTCTTATGTATTTTAGATATTAACTCCTTATCAGACAAATAGTTTGTAAACATTTCCTCCCATTTTGTAGGTTGCCTTTTCATTATGTTGATTGTTTCCTTTGCTGTGCAGAAGCTGTTTTACTTAATATAATCTCATTTTTAAAAAAAGATTTCTTGCCTGTGCTTTTTGTATTGTAGCCAAGAATCATTGCTAGGGCCAGTGTTTTCTTCTAGAAGTTTCATGGTTTGGGGTCTTAAGTTATTTAATCCATTTTTACTTGATGGTATTTAGTTGATGATTTTGTCGATCCATTTGTTTATGGTGTAAGATAAGGGTCAAATTTTATTCTTTTGTATGTGTACATCCACTTTTCCCAGCACTATTTATTGAACAAACCATTCTTTTCTGTTCACACCCTTGTCAAAGATCAGTTAACCGTATGTTTGTGGGTTTATTTCTGAGCTCTCTGTCTTGTACTGTTGGCCTATACATCTGTTTTTATGCCAGTAACATTGTGTTTTGATTATTTTAGCCTTGTAATGGATTTTGAAATTAGGAAGTGTGATGCCTCCAGTTTATTCTTTTGCTTAGAATTGTTTTAGTTATTTCAAGTTTTTTTTTGGTTCCAGATTAATTTTAGGATTGCTTTTTCTATTACTGTAAAAAAAATGCCACTGGGATTTTGATAGAGATTACATTAAATGTATAGATCACTTTGAGTAGTATGAATATTTTAACTATAACAATTATTGTAATTCATAAACATGGGATTTTTTTATTTATTTGTTTTCTGCTGTAATTTCTTCAGTGTTTTATACTTTTCAGTGTACAAGGTTTTCACTTTCTTGGTTAAGTATATTTCTAAGTACTGCATTCTTTTTGATGCTATTGTAGATGGGTTTGTTTTCTTAATTTCCTTTCCATATAGTTACTTGTTAGTGTACAGAAATATGAGTGATTTTTGTATGTGGATATTTTTTCTGCAACTTTACTGAATTTGTTTATTCTAACAGTTCTTTTTTATAGACTCTTTAGGGTTTTCTATATATTAAGATCATGTCATCTGCAAATGGAGATAATTTTACTTGTTATTTCCTGATTTGCATGGTTTATGTTTCTTTTCTTTTTCTTTTTTATTTTAGTTTTTGTCTGCTTACTCTGGCTAGCACTTCCAGTACTATCTTGAATAGAAGTGGCAAAAGTGGGCATCCTTGCCTTATGCTGTATCTTAGAGGAAAAAAATTGGTTTTTCACCATTGAGTATGATATCAGCTGCGAACTTTTCATGTGTAGCCTTTATTATGTTGAGGTAGTTTTATTCTATTCCTAATATTTTGAATGTTTTTTATCATGAAACATTACTGAGATTTGTCAAATATTTTTCTGCATTTATTGAGATGATCTTGTGATTTTTATCCTTCATTCTATTAATGTGGTGTATCATAGCAATTGACTTGCTCATATTCAAAAATCCTTGGATCCTAGGGATAAATATCACTTGGTGATGGTATATGATTTTTAATA